AGAGAGACATAAGGTACATATGTAGATGTAGATGTATGTATGTGTGTGTAAATAAATAAACAGTCCTGTTGATATATATCAAGTTGATTTATATATCAAACTTCTTAACTGCCCATCTTCCTCTTAAAGAGGATTTGGGTAGGAATTACTTCTTCCAGATTGGAATTTTAAAAAAGGTATTTTCAGGAAAGACACTGATAATGTGACTAAAACTGTGAATTTTACAATCTTTTAAGAGATTCCATTTTATCATACAAGTTAGAGGTTCTACAACAATATTGAATGAAAGTAATGTGAGAAGACAACCTCATTTCTCCATTACGAAATATGGCTATTATTAATATTGCTTCTAGACCCCTTCCAAGGTATAGAAAAGAAAGAAACTGAACACTCTGACTTTTTCAATAAGTGAAAGAAGCAATAATAAGTCCGAACGGTCACTAAAAGGATGGTTGTAAGTCAAGGATTACCTGTATACAGAAAGAGGATTACCTGTATACACTGCATATATTATTATCCAATGTAAGAGTAGGAAAAGGAGGAAGAGGGACTTTAAGCTAACATGGATGCAATCCAAATTACTAAATATGGAGGTGGAATTTTTGTTCAAACAGAGAAACCAGGTGAGCTCTTTAAAGTATTAAATTGCGTAAAGATGTGTCTCATTCCAAGCTGGTAGGATCAAATCGTTTTGAGATATATGCCTACCCATCTCCTTTGAAATTATTAGTTTCTTAATCATTCACAAGAACATGCCCATCTATGAAAATTATTGTATTGAGTAATATCCCTTCAGAAGGAAACCCTGATGGCACATAAACACATTGTACAGGGCCATTTTGCAAATTTAGCCATTAGTTGTACTCACCAATTTCTTCTCTCCAAATGGAACTATCTGTTGTCCCTTCAAATAATTCCCTTTTCACCTTTTCTTCTTGCCCCTTCTCACAAAATTCTTCAAAGCTTTAACAAGCTTCTTTTCTATGTCCCATATAAGATTAGCTGGGTCATTCTGTTGTTGTTTTTATTTGTATGGCCCATTTAATTTTAAAGACATCAACCAGCTTCTTTTAAATGTTCAGTGTAGTATCTTTTTCTATATCATTCATAAAACCTGTCATTTTTTTTAATCTACTTTCCGATCAGCATCAGTCTTCTCTAGTAAAACCTGTTCCTCTTCCATGACATCTTTTAAACACTCTCTATCTACAGAGGCAGACAATCTTAAAACAAATTTATCTGGGCTTTGTTGGTTTCTACAGGGAATTCATCCTTAGTTTTGCAGACCTTATAAAGATAATCCTCAACTTATGACCACAATGGAGAGCAAAAGTTCAGTTGTGGTCATAAGTCAAGGGATACCTGTATGTGGAAAGAAAGATGACATAACCAGACACAGGTGTCTAGTTTGTCTAAGCCCATTGACTTGCTCCACAAAAATAGCACAGCTGTTGCCTTATTATGATGGGATTCCTGATGGACAATTGTCCGCTTCTAAGAAAGATAGTGATAGAAACACCATCTTGAAATCCACACATTTTGAAATCCATACATTTTCAAGATTGAGAAACACTGGTCTCAGTAGTGGGATTCACATTTTTTTACAGCCGATTCTGTGGGCGTGGCTTGGTGGGCGTGGCTTGGCTTGGTGGGCGTGGCTTGATAGGGGTGGCAGGGGAAGGTTACTGCTAAAATCTCCATTCCCTCTCCACCCTACTAACCTACTTTCCAGCTCTGTTCTCCTGTGCAGGGCAACAAAAGAAGAGTCAGCTGACCAGCTGGGACTGGGGAAGCAGAGAAGAGATGGGGGTAGGGCCAGACAAGGACCAGCGGAGACATGATAGCAGTCTTCAAATATTTGAGGGGCTGCCACAGAGAGGAGGAGGGGGTCAAGCTGTTTTCTAAAGCACCTGAAGGCCAGACAAGGAGTAATGGATGGAAACTGAAC